AAAATATGTTCAATACAATGAAAACTTAATTATAATAACATAATGAAGTACACAACAATCGAATAAAAGATACATTGCTTAAAATGTTGTGGATATAAAAATAGTGGAAAAATTAATTTGTTTGTGCAATTTGTATTGATATGCTCCGATTGAACTAACAATTTATAGTTTAAAATAAGCACTAGTTAAATATAAGTCTAAAATCCAGTATGACTACACCTGATTCATTTCATTTTGAAATCATAATGGTATTTTCGGAAGACAAACTTTTCGCATACTATTATATTTCGTTTGATGTATTTTAAGTCTTAAAGCATTGGGCAGTTAAATCTCATGCAGCATTTTACAAATAATCAATGCGAAAGGTATGCGATAGTTTACTTTAAACTGCACCTAAAGGTAAATGTGCAAAATCTGTAGTAAACGCACATAGCTACTGATTAAATGGACACAAAGTAACGCACGTAGACATTAGACATTTCCTTTTTGACTGCGTTAACGTAATGCAGTAAACACGGAAATTAGAATAATCAAACGAAGGATGTGCACTAACGTGCCTTTACTTTAAGTTATTCTTTGTTTGAACCAAACTGATATTTATTGACTGATTTTCTCATTTTATGTTCAAATATAAATTATTTAAGAAACGCACATATGGTGCTGTTAAATTGGTACCGCGAATTTTATTAAAATATGAAAATATGATTTATTTCAATATTTCAATTTTGTTTAACACATTCTCTTTATTTTAAATTGATTTATAAATTTCAGACATACAACAAATGTAGTGAACCAGTGCCAGTAAGCCCGACCTTTTTAACATTTGAATACTGAAATTATATATATATTACTTTTAGAAATTTGCATTTATACTTTTATACGATGAAACTGAAAGAAGGCGTGATTTCTGTATCGGCATGACCAGTCATTAAAGCTATCCAACAGATAATGCAAATAATATTTTTTATCATAATTACTAGGATTTATAATTACCATTGTTTTATAGCCACATGTTAGAATTGTGCGTATAACATATCGGTAATTTGTTCCACATTTCTACATAAAAACCTCAAAAAACTCTGCCTGGTGGAAAAGTACGCACAACTGTCTAAAGCCGTTTATGTTGGCAGTTTCTTATCGTTTTTTTCTTAGAAAGTTTTTATCGCAACGAAATCAACGATTGGTGACAATCTCTGTGTGATTATTTCATTACGCATTTAGATTCGGTCCGTTTTTATGCTTGTGCTATAGGCATTTTCTATTGTTGAAGATCGTTGATGTTTAACCCTGGATTTGACTTTAAATTGATGTGAGTTTTATATGTTTGTTCAGTTTGGTAAGCTGCTGATAACGAATCAATGGCGTTTACCATACATATTCTCTTGGTTATACAGTATATTCCGAGACAACAGTAGTTTATCGATGTTAAAATCTCATAAATCAATCAAGAAAACACAAATCCAGATATAAAATCAAAAACTGAGGAAATCGAATGAACTCCAAAAATGAGCAAAATCGCGTGTATCGACAGGGTAAGCGTCTGCTACTTTATGCATGCATCACCCGCCATGCAAATCCAGGCTCAGTAAAAAAGAATATTGGGAATAGAACACAATCGGTAAAGGACAAGGTACTATTTGGGTCCAAATTGGCCCTTAAATCAAATATATTTCTAACAATCTAAGATTGAATATATGTACTTTAATAAAACAATGATATTTGGTTATAAATATACACATATGAGATATACAGCCATGAAATAACAGAACGATCAGTAAAATGAAAAATTATGCAAAAGTTTGACTATTTGACTTGTACATGCAGAGAAATAATATAGAGGACAACCGTCGCCCAATAAGATATTTAAACATTTTATGTATTTTGTATTTATTCATTCATTGGCAAACTATAATAGGGAACGCCTTTACTCTATGTTAACTAAACCAGAATGGTCTAATGATTAGCCAATTTTAGTTAAAAAATATGACTCATCTTGCCAATGAAGTCACTTTAAACACGTAACAATCAAACTGTGCCACCAAGACTTGAGATGAGTAAGAGAATATGTACGAAGATCAATTATTTTTACTTATTGTTTTGTTTCGTGTTTTTTTCAAATATTAATCACAACCAAACAAAGCCATCTGACCCCATAATAGGTATTTCCAATATAAATAAGAAAAAAAGATGTGATTTTGGTTATTAGGCATATTACCTCCAAAGTAAATTCCGTTAAAGTTTGACAAAGTTATTTATATTTGAAAATAAACAGCTGCACCAATAGCACATGATACTACCTTACTGTGCATACTAAAATTGTTGCAAAAATAAAATGGGACATTGAGAAGGCATTTAAGAAGCAAATAAAATGGCTCTGTCCAAAAAAAACATGCATGATGATACCCTTGGCCTATAAGAATTGTGTCAATTTTTACTGTTCAAAGTCTGTAATGACAAACAAGAACATTTTTAAAATCAAAAGAGTGCATTCACTAATCGCAAAAACAGTGTATAGCTTGTATTAATTTGATCTAAGCATACTGAAGCTACTGCATGACATTTAGAAAATGTATTTTATTTATTTTACCGCCAAAGTCCCATAAATCTGGAACAACATAGCGGAAATATTTTTAAATTAAAATATGTGTTATGTTCACAAATTCCAACAATTATGTAAAGTTGTAAGTAAATCAAACCAAGCCAATTCAATTTATGGTACATCATGTGAAAAATTTACTTGAATCCGATAATTTAAATCCGGTATCTCTGAAACGGAAAGCAAACCCCCCCCCCCCCTAAAAAAAAAAAATTGAAAGGAAGCTTCCTTTTATCATTCCAACAATAATATAAAGTTCTAAAATGAAATCAATCCAGGCATTTTGGAGTTAGAGTGCGATGGGTCATAAATTGCCTTAATTCAAATGGTTAAAGTCCCGTAACTCTGGAAAAACAAAAAAAAACAAAATTCTAAAATTGGAAAAGAGCTTTCTTTCGTCAATCTTAATGTTGTGTTCAAATTCCATGAGCATTCATTGGTTAAAGCAAATTGGAGTAAACGTACAAAGTATTGACGGACATATGAACGCACGGACATTGGTATACCATAATATTCTTCGACGGGCTTATAAAAATATAACCATAGACTAAACCTAAACCTAAATGTTGACACCGCCGACGACGACAGAATGTTTGATCGCTTTGCCTCGCTTCCGCGACAAAATGTCGCATGCTAAAATAAATGGACATTTCTACATATGTATGAAAATAAATGTATTCATATTTTGATTCAATTTTTCATGTATCTGTACATATCAACAAAAATTCACATAAGACGTATCACTTACATCGAAATTTATCTAATAAATTTTGTATAGCTATTCATTAGGAGCAAAATGACTTTTACGTAAGGTTTTCTATGTCTTTTTTGTTAGAACGTGAACTTTTATTATCCTACTGCAGCCAGACTAACCGCTATTCTTAAAGGGTCATGAGTGATAGGCCATTCGTTCGAGTAAACAATTGGACATCTCTTTGTATATTTATACAAAAATACATTTATTCATAATGGGATACAGTGTTTCAAATATCTGCTTTCTCTCTTTCTTTGTAGTAAATTCCTCCATTCTCTAGTGCAAATCGTAATGTATGTATCTGTGTAGCGGTATGCAACATATAAATATTTGTACATATCTATAAATAAATTAACATGAAGCATATAAGTAACATTAATCCTAACAGATGGCTTCCAATGTTGTTGATTTTGTAACACTCACTTACTCAGAAACATAGCATTCTATTTTCTTTTCAGAGGATTGAATTCAGGTATGTTAATATATTTCTTAGACAGTTGTCTTTTAGACATGAGCAAAATCACAAAATCATTGATCTGATTTACTATTGATTAACCATATGTTAGAATGCATTAGCTTTAATGCATAAAGAAACACTTAATATATTATAAATAAACGAATAGTAGCTTGTGTTAATGGGATTTGATTCGTGGTTTAGTTCATAGTCAAACAAATATTCTAATAAAACGTCTTTTTTGTTATCTGTTAATAATTTAATTTTGGATGTAACGCGTCTTCCGATTGGCTGACGTTGTTTTGTTTATCAGCTCACAGACATAATTTTGTCATGTGACCTTGACGTCCTCAACGTTTTTTCATGATTTATTCCGGTTTAAAATGGAATTAAGAATTAAATTATAAGAAATGACTGTAATATTTTTTCTGACTATTCGAAATAACATAACAAATGTGGTGCACACTTTAAAATAACCCGCTACGCGGGTTATTTAGTGTGCACCACATTTTTGATGTTATTTCTTCATAGACAGAAAAAATATTACAGTCATTCCTTAAATACATTTTGGTGTATTTTTTTTGTATGGATTATATGCATTTGCATTTCTAGTCGATGTAAACTGTGTTTCAATTTGTATTTTTTATCTTATTATAGCCTTGCATCGTGCAAAGGGGAAGTTCCAACGAAACTAATTTAACCCTACTGCATATTATTCGCGCCTGTTCCAAGTCAGGAAACATGGTCATATGTATGTGGTTGTCTCCGTACATTTTTTAATTCCTTAACCATATTTGATAATTATATAAAGTATTATGTCCGCTAATTTATCATCTTGGTTATTTTGTCGTGAACATTTAGGGATTGCTTTGTGGTATATGGGTTCCTACTTTAATGGAGATCGTGTGGCGACCCCTAGATGTGAAATTTAGGTCTGCTCAGCTTGAAAATGGGATGTTTTCTTCATGACATGTACTCCATACCCGTTCCTTTTCATTCTCATTTGGCAGCCTTGTCAATTATCTACAGTTATTGAAAAACAAACAACTTAAAGGGCTTAAAGGCCACACTCTGAAAAAAAGGGAAGTTGAGAATATAATTTCAAATCACTTTACAACGACAACGATTACTAAAGTGTAAACTAGCATTAAAAATTTAATCTGATAAACATGACACATGCATTCACCGTATGGTACCTATAACTTTCTATCTTGAACAGATGACAAAGTCTTTTCCCAAGCTTGTATAAAGAGCAGGTCACTTTTATCTATATAGTTTCTGACATATAACTGTTCATACACTTCTCTGGTAGTATTTAAATTCTTAGACTCAGAACTGCTAAGAAAATCAATCAGCTGATTGCTTTTTTCGTATAAATCCAGCTCAGCATTAAAATCTTTGAGAATGGTATGTGGATTTCGTTCCTGGAAAACACAAGGAGGTAAAAAGGCTAGATAAATATTTTTCTTATGTAGGAAAAACTGCGCAATGTAGCCTCTCCAAATATCACTAACACGCCCATTTACGCTTACTGGAAGAGGCATCAGATGAAATGATGATGAGAACCACAACGTAGCCTGTGCATTAAATGGTGTATATGAGTGTCGTGGAATTAACAGCGCCCGTTCATTGTTGTTGGTGATACTGAAATTAAAAGGAACTTTCCTTGTAAGTCTATAAATAGCATCGACATCCGGCTGTTCGTTTGCAAGTGCTTGCATTATTCCAACTTGTTTTTGTTCTCTTAAATTACATTCTTTTGGTATTGTTCTGTTGTCTTTTATAAACTGCAATGGAAATCCTCTAGGCCACGAATATGTCTCGTTAACTTTGAAATATGGATATGGATTAACAATCTTATTCACATACTGAGTGCATACCTCAGCATAATTGGTGGCAGTGCTGTTAGAATTAAACTTCATTGTGTCTACTATTCCAATGTTATCGTCGTCAAAATCCCATATCATCTTTGCTTTGTGCTGAATGGCATAGATATAACCAATATTCTTTCTACCAAAGTGATTAAATGGAATTGCGTCGGCTAACATCGGGTACCGTTGTTTCTGCTCTACTATTGTTAAATATTTGGTGTTTTGATTTGACAAATGTTTAAGATATATGTGTTTTGTTGGTGTTTTAATATCAGCAACAACTAGGAGACACCAATTACGTAGTTTATCTATATATTGTACAGCTTTTGACGGAGGATATATCGTTGTGACTACTGCCCAGTTATCACATGGTTTCTCTTTCGGGTTAGGTGCCATGGACCAATAGTTTTTCAGGGGAACTACTGGTATACTTCTGATCACATTGCCAGAAAAGAGGGAACCAGTAACAGCACCAGCTATCGTACCATTAAAATCATAGACTGTTGTCTTATGCGAGTCTTTTGTTTCAATGTAACTCGTTGGACCTATAGTCTGTTGGAATTTTACTGGACTGGTTTGCTCTTGCAATTTGTACATTTCTAACGGGAGAGCTTTGTGAAGGAGCACATTATCTACACAAGAATCTTTATTAATATATTTTGCAAAAACTTGTTCACGATCGTTTTGTCTCCATACCATTACAATTCTTTTATCATCAGCATGTGTGTCAACGTCATTGTATATGGAAAGCCAATTATACAGTGCTACGTGGGCAAAGTTGTGGTCAACTAAATCGTTATGACTGTTGCATTCTGGTTCACCGCAATATTTCCTTTCCACAATTCTTTTTATTAAGTCCATTCCAAGAACTACAAACATTTCATCAATTTCAGGTGCATTCGACGTTGCTCGTCTCCAGCCATAGTATAGTTTAGGTGATAAGAGTTCATATAACCTCGATGTCAGTTGCCGAATGCATAAAAATACATCATCATCCATCTTTGCTGCTATCAAAGCATCTGGGTAGTGCGTATGAACATATTTCAACCATTCGAACAGTTTCTCGCCGAATTTAACAGCCCATCCATGGTGAGTCACATTCAGATACACAATATCGTTATATATATAATTTTCATGAATTGAGGCATTAGACGGACGATCAAAAACAAATTTGTAAGCAATACGGAAAGGTAGCTTGTCTGCATATTGGACAATTGTCGAAATCCATGTCTTCCTTTGAGCCGTCCTCCTGTCAGCACTGTTATCCCAGGTTAAAATTCCAATTACAAAAAGAGGCTTATATTCTGTATCTTTATTGTAAACAATTTGTTTTCCCGGGAATATTTCTACTTTTCGGCTCATTTGAAATAAAAACAAGGTCACAAAGAAAACGATGACACATGTGATATATATTACGTTCCTCCTCCTTTCCATTATGGGCCCTGAAAAAGCGCAAAAAAACATGATCTTGATATGAGAATTTTGCAACGGATTATTTGACAAATGTTTTGTACCACCACCAGTATATATAGTTAAATGCTAAGTGCACCACTAGGTGAATCTATTAATGTGCATGATATTTTTAAGCTCATACTTATAAAAGGGATGCAGATCCATTGATTATTATTTAAACAGCCACAGAGTAGTTGTCTGTTGGGACGCTTTCTCGTTGCTAAGTCCATCAAAAGTTTTGAATTATTCTTAAAAAAAACCACAGGTCTAATTGGATCAATATCACATCCATTGCGAATAAGATTCAAACGTTTAATGCTGACTTTATCTTCAGTATGCTCGAGAATTTTAGCGATTGCAAATACTGCACAAACACTTGCAGGATTATTAACTTTGTTTTTTTTTAACTTTAATAGTTCTAGATAAAATTGAGAATGGAAATGGGGAATGTGTCAAAGAGACCATACCAGCGACATCGCGGGTCCGTGACTGAAGTTAAGAACCTACGCCTTACTTTTAGCCTGGATTTTTAGAATTCGTATTGTCATTGGGTAAAGTCACGCTGATTATAAGGTGCACAGTTATTCCCTGTATAATGACGAATTTCAGGTGTGATTATTACCCGTGTTTATAGCAAATACTGAATACACCGTTTGGTTGTGAGCCTGGCAGAGGCGGAACGTACAGATTAGGTAACAGGGATCAGGTAATTTTCTGACATATACTATTGAAATCGGTATCGGATTCAACCCGGAATTTGTTAATTATTGGTAATATTAATTATGTGGAAAACAAAAGGGCCTGGAATGGTGTAATTTTTAATCTACACCATTGTCCTATATTATTTATATATAAAGTTAAAATCTGCGGGCAGTACGTCGACTGAGCAAGCGCGAAAGCGTATAAGAGACGGATCGATAACGGTCTCCGAATTTGGATATTTTCTCAAAAATTGGCGTTTTCTGTGGAAAAATGATTGTTTCAAAGACAAATTTAGGAAGTACAAAACACTACATTTATATGTCATATCACAAATATTTCCAATTTGTATGGTTTCAGAGGAGTTGCGGCTCAATGAAATCGGTCTTTTTCTTTAGTAGTATAGATATTAAAAGTATTCTTTAATCGACGACTATTGATCATAGACCATACACAGACTTAATGCTCGACAAAATGCATTGAATTTCCTAAAAACAGCCCGTAGAATATTAACATGTCAAATACGACTCGAACTCTTTGTGATGCGGTCGATGTTCATGAATCCATAGATTGAAGCCTTGAAACACGACATCATACAACTCCCAATGGTGATCATTCCAATATGGTTTAAAGGGAAAATTCGCGATTTTTTACTTATCATTTTATTATGTTTATAATATCATAACAATCATATTCACCAGGTTTTATCTAAATATGGACATTAATAAAGAAGAAAATTGGAAATTATTAATTTTATTTATACGAATTTCCTGTCTATTGGGACGTACTTTTAAACTATTGCATGCCGGGAGTGGAATTAATTTCATTTTAAAGTCTTGTTCGTTAATCATCTAATAACGCAATTTAAGGTGGCACGGTAGTATTTACATTCCGGAATTTAGGTTGCTCTTTTGTGTACCCTACTTAAGGCAATGTATCTGAACAGTATGATTGCACAAAAAATACAGTATCTACTGAATATACTTTCCAAAACTAAGGGATAAATCAGGTGTAGAAAAATATGAATTAATTTTACATATAGCTGGAAATGAATTTTTGAGAATTTTTTTAAATTTTGTATTCACTGCAGGATAAAAGACATACAAGCACAGTGGCCTTACGTTTATAAAGATAGCAAAAAAAGTAAACGGTTATCATACATATTCAAATTAATTTTTGAATATTATAATGAAAGTACTTCAGTTAACTGTGTATGTAGAATTTTGGTCAGTGTTAGAAAGTTGTAAAAATTCTAAAAAGGCTATCATCCCTATGGGCCAGGAAATACTACCGTGCCACCTAAAAGCGCGTCGATGACTATTTTGCACAGCTATTAACCAACTAATAATTAAAAAAATAAAGCGAACAGCCGTGCAACTTTTTAAATTCCTAAGGTACATGCAGATACATTTTATGGAATTCTGATATGCTTATAGTAATAAAAGTGAATCGTACAATAATATATTTTTGTAAAATATTATTTCCGACGGCTATGTTGAACAAACATATATAACTGATAATGTAATGACAATGAATGTATGTTTTCTGATGTTTAATTAAGTCTAGCAAACATTCCCACTAGGATTGTGTAAATAAAATGTGTGTATTATACTCTGACACTACCAGGTGAAGGCGTGGTTATTTTCACGATAATTAAAAGATTAGCATTTTGTAATTCTATTCTTTTGATCTTCATTCGAGTGTACTTTAGTCTCCAGGGTTCACCGCTCCAGGTGTGAACACCATCTCGTATGGATGATAAAAGAGAAGTCCGAGTTTGAGACACAAAAATAAAGTAAATAAATTAAATTATTTGGGGAGGAAGATGGTGGCAAAATACCCGAATTGCCGAGGTATATTTTTTTTTTATATTTTGCGTTAGCTCAGTTTGAAATAAATTTAGCCAGATGAAATTGTTTTGTAACAATGAAATACTGAATTAATTTCAATTGAATAATTTTATAAATATAATGGCCCCCAAAAGCGAGTGTATAAACCAAAAAAAATGTACTATTTTAAATTAGCATCGGTAACTTTCAATATTTAAATGTGCATAGAAAATTATCAATTGAATTTATATAATTTGGACCGTCCAAAGCGATTTTCATTTACCTAATCGGTAATGCCCTTATCAAAATATTGCATATCTCACAACGTATAAATACTTTAGAGGCTATTTGACCAAAGATGTTCAAAAAGTTAACAGAATCAATCTAAGGTCAACTTTGCCTATTAGAATGGAGACAGATCGGAGGAATCAGATTTTCAATGTGCTTTATCATTTATAAGTGACTTTTAAGTATCATTTATTCATAAATCCACTCTTAACAGACAAGAATACTCCTTTATAGCAAACAAGCAGTATTTGTTTTTAATTTCTGTGATTTAATACCAAGAAAAAAAAAATACCTAAATTAATCTGATACTCAATATGATTCCTGGTAAATATTCACATCCTCATTCGGTCCGAAAATAAAATATGAATTTGGTATACAGAACATTCCGAAGTGTGAATGTCATAACCCTTGTCATATCAGAAATATGTATTGAACGCCATTATAAATGTGAACATGTATACGTAAGACCTCATGGGACGTCACATAACCACATAAGGTAATATACATGTAGCTCTGTAATACTCGGAAATGTCAAGGTAAATCACTACCTATACAGAATGTACCATGTCAAAGACATTCTGACGATCGTAAAGCATGACCATTCATGATCTAAGAGGAGTCTTGGGTGGGGGGGGGAACGATTTAAATTCCGAGTAGATTTTTATTTCTCAATTCAAATCACTAAACTAAAAAAATAATTTTTTACATCCAGGAACAGAATTCTTTTTGTAAATTCATGAATACAACGACCTTATTTTGTAACTTTCGATAGAAGTGACCTTTTTTTCAATTCTCTATTGAACCAATGCCTTATTAGTAAAGTTAGAATAAAAAATTGACACTACAATCAAACAATTATAGCCCCCCCCCCCCCCCCTAAAATAAAAATAAAAATAGAAAAAAGAAGAAAAGATGAACGGTAACTCACATCAGATTCAGATATTTAAATAGTTGATTGTCGTTAACCGGAGATGTGTACATGTATCTGCGGTTACTTATAAAAATGGCAGGAATTTATATACTGCGGCACATATACATGTTCTAGGGAGTTGAATAACCCCTTCCTATCACAGCGTACATGCACGTATTTTAATGACTCTTGGTCAACAACAGTTAATAAATAATTAGATGATAAACTTGGTCCGTCATTTCGATTAAGAATGACAATTGTATGTGAAATTCTGTAGTTGGTGAGTCTTTCTCTACCAGATGTGCGACATTTCGTATGTATATTTTCTTTTATTACTCTCATCTCGGGAATGGTTTATTCCCCCGCAAGCTAAATAAATTAATCAATTAAATTGGCAACCATTACTGATAAAAAAAGAAAAAACATCCGTCACCCTCTATCTGATCAGACGTTAATACACCTACTATCAGTCTATTCGAATTGAAGTTTCTTTATTTCTTCAAATAGGCTTTTTGGGGATCATTTGTGTACGTCCAGTGGTAAAAAATTACATGCATGTCGGGACAGGAAAATTTACAATAGATATAATTAGAACCAGTGCTATTTCACCAGGTTCACATTATTATACATGATAACTAACAATTGTGAAGACGAATTTCTTAAACTGTTCTAGAACAATCTAAATGAAATATAAATCTGTGATTTTACTATGGTCATAACTTCGACCAAAGCAAATTAGATATAGATCTGAATTTTAATCAGATTGATTCTGGATGTTGTTCTCTTATATTCAATATATATATATATTAAATTGCGACTATCTATAGTTCCGTAATTTTCTATCTGTATAAACCAATGATCGACAAGTGCGTACATTTTTGTGTAATTAATATGTTATCAAAATT